AATATATATATATATATACAGTATATATACAGTATATATACATGTATTTATTGAAGAAGATACATGCTTTAAAACAGTGAAGTTAAAACCACATAAGTTATTGTAGTTGACTTTTAAGATTGCATCACACTTCTTTGCACTAAAGCCACTAACCTTTGAAACTTCCAATAGTGTCTTTGAGGAATGCCATAACGTTGTACCACCAGAGCCATTCTATCAGGCTTGTGTTAGCGATGGCTGCATTAAGACAGAAGGCGAGGTTCTGTGCTCCAGCTTACAAAGCTATGCTAGGCTTTGCGGAATCGAGGGAGTCTGCATTGACTGGAGAGACAGCACTAATGGTGTATGCCGTAAGTAGAGGTCCAGTCATAAATATAAGTTAGGCTTAGCTTTAAAGTTTTTTCCAAATTATTTTGTTCATGTTATTGTCTATGCGTATTACACAGATATATAAAGCTTCTTTATCTTTGTACAGCCAAGAACTGTTCCTCACATCTCGTGTATAAACCATGTGGACCTGCCGTAGAACCCACCTGTAACTATAGGTAAGTTTATTTTTTGTAATTGTTTCTTTTTTACCATTGTTAAAATGTTGTTTATTTGTGCTAATTTCTGATCAACTTCTAGGTACAATGATGATTTTTATAACAAGACCACAGATTTCTTGGAAGGGTGCTACTGTCCTGAGGGCAGTACAAAATTCAACACCATATCAAACAAATGCGTAACCACTTGTGGTATGTAATATTCCTTCTAGTTAAAATGTTTAATAACTTGTTGCCCGCTCTCCATATTCCTAAATATACATCTCTTTGTGCAGGATGTACTGGCCCAGATGGAATGCCCAGAGAGGTAAGACGTATATTAGATAAATCATCAGAAGCAAATATGTGGTGAATAAGGCTGTGAGAAATGTATTATATATTTACTTTTTTCATTTACTTCCAGCCTGGAGAAACATGGGAAAGCAACTGTCGGACCTGTATCTGTGATAATGCAACAATGAGTGTACAGTGTGCAGCAAAATCCTGTGCAAAGCCTATCCCTGCATCTTGTACTGAAGGATCTATGTCAGTTTCTGTACCTGACTCATCTAACCCCTGCTGTCAAATCACAGAATGCCGTGAGTACAATGTTTGTTGCAAATTTAAAAATCGTATCCCTGTTCAAGCTGTAACTTTCTGTTATACTAATAAAAATTTAGAGTTAAAAAAAAAGTGCACCAACCTGCTGCAATAATAGAAGAATAGAAGATTGATTTATTAAAAGGGATAATCTATAAAATGAACGGGAACAGAATGCCTATTAGTAGCCTTTGCATGGCCTGGAGATGATATGGGGAAACAGCCCACTATGGTCAGTAGTGAAAAGTAAACAGTCTGTGTGGCATGTTGTTTTAGTAGTGGGCTATCCATGCCTTAAGGAGGAACTGAACTCTGGAATCTGTTCCCAAAAAGGCAGGTAGAGGACAAAGAGCTAGTTACCATTATTGCCTGTGGTCTCCCTCCAGCCACTCTTTGCCCTATTAGTACTATGCATGTTTTCTGTGTGGCATCAGCACTTTGGTGGAAATAGAGCTGTGCATCTTCATGTCAGACTCTCCAGAAAAGAGAACAGTGAGCAGCACAGCAGTAAAACCATCAGATCTCAATCCAGATCCCCTGACACTAGCAGTTGGAGACAACAGTGCCTCTGACCTCCCATTGCAGATACACAGAAATTAGATTGTAGGCAGAGGAGTGTCTAGCCACCCTCACAAACCAGGAAGTGCATCATTATTTTTTTAGGAGGAATTCCAGACAAAAGGAAAATTTTTCAGGTTACTGCATATATACAATTAAGATTTGTAGATGTTCCCTATAACATAGCAAATTAATTCTTGGCTCAAAGTTGGATCAGGAGGACTAAATTGTTGGCTTGAACTTGGAGAAGGTGTGTTTTGTGTGCAACAATTTGTTTCTTTGTGCTCTCTTTTTTTGCATTGTCAGCACTAAAAACGAATCACTGTACTCCTGCAGCAAACATTCTTGTAAACTAACAGGTAGTTAGGCATATTTTTCCTATAACCTGGCCGATAACTATTCACATTTATAAGCGAAAATAAATGTTTTAGGTTAGCTGAGTAAAACACATTTTCCAAAAGGACAAAAACGTAGATAAATTAATACTCTCAGTTCATTGAAATATTTTGCATCTCTGTTTTCCTAACAAAGAGCTGAATAGGCTGTGCAAATGTCATAGATGGAAGACATTTGAAGAACTAGGGATGATGTTCCTTTTTTATGTTACAAAGTATTGAGTGTATGATAAGCTCTTTTTCTATCTGCTGACAGGTTGTAACATCAGTCTGTGTTCCAATGTCAAAATGGTTTGTAAACCTGGCTATGAAGCTGAGTTGCAGACAGATGCAGGGGGTTGCTGTCCAGTGTTCAAATGTGGTACGTAAATGTGTCCTTGGGTAAACACAAATATTGTATTTTAATTATAATGACAATATAGTCTGTTTGATTTAAATTGTATGTCTAGGCATTGCCCAAATGTACCCCCAAATCTCTATTGCCATTATACATAGTTACATAGTATTTGAGGTTGAATAAAGACATTAGTCCATCAAGTCCAACCTATTAGGATCTCATTCTTAGGAGTACTTGTACCCCTGTATATTACGGTCCCTTAAAAAATCGTCCAAAAGTTTCTTGAACAATTCCACATTTTTTTCTGAAATCACCGCCTGTGGCAGTGAGTTCAAAACCCTACCCGCTCTAACTGTAAAGAACCCCCTTCGCCCCTTGTGCTGGAATTTTTTTTCCACCAATTTTAGGTTATGGCCTCTAGTTTTTGTAATGGAGTTAATTTTAAATAGTTTATCGCTAATGTTGCTGTCACCATTGAACATTTTGTACATGGAAATCATATCCCCCCTTAATCTCCTCACCTCCAATGTGAACATGTTTAAATTTAGTAGCCTCGTCTCGTAGCTTTGGTCCTCCATACCCCTAATTAGTTTGGTTGCCCTCCGCTGGACTTTTTCCAGCTCAAGGACATCTTTTCTTAGTACTGGTGACCAGAACTGGACCGCGTACTCCAGATGCGGTCGAACCAATGATCTATAAAGTGGCAAAATTATAGACTTGTCCCTGCAATAGATCCCCTTTTTAATACAGGACAAAACCCTACTAGCTTTGTTTACAGCAGCCTGGCACTGCAAGCTACCTTTCAGTTTGTGGTCTACAATGACCCCCAAATCCTTCTCCATTTCTGACTTCCCCAGCGGGAAGTATGGAACATATTCCAGCATCATTTTATTTCCTTTACCTTATTTCTGTAGGGAAAAACTATTTTTACTATTCCCTATGACATCATCAGCAGGCTTGTGAAATTCTGGAAGGGGCAGCTGCTAGGAGCTCAGTTTTATGTGAGCACAGCCCCAAAATTGCATCTACTAAGAGCCCTTTCCCTACACACAGTGTGTGGACAGCATCTTTGCAGTCCAGGAAGCAGCATTGATTTCCTGGATAAGAGACTCAACACATGCAAAGAGGGTGGCAGAAAGGTGGTGGGAATAGGTAGAATTCTGTTTTCAAGCAGGCAGGACTGACAATGCTGGTTGGAATTTCACTGCAGCAAAGACACTGTGTTGTATTGTGGAGATATTTTATTTCTTTTATTTGATTCTTCCTCTACAGTTCCAAAAGCCGTGTGTGTTCATAATGGATCAGAGTATCAGGTAATGAAAGCTGGTTCTCTGAACTCATCTCCTCTATATCAGCCTTTGTTGGTTATATTGCTTTCTTTAGGTGTACTTTGATCAGATTACATTGTTTTACTTTAATATTGTTTTATTATATTTTAGCCTGGTGGAATTGTTCCTTCTCTCAACCCCTGTGAAAAGTGCATGTGTGACGGCACAATGAATGAGACTTCAGGAATGCACCCTGTAACCTGCACTACAGTTATGTGTAGCATCAAATGTGCACAGGTAACATTTAGAAATGTAGTATAATAAAGACCTTCTCTGGAGGCTACATTTTAAATGACAATCTCTGCATTGTGTCCTTCAGGGCTTTAGGTATCAGAAAGTTCCTGAACAATGTTGTGGAACCTGTGTACAGACTCAGTGTATCATGGATCTACCTGATAACTCCACCTCCCTGCTTAGTGTGAGTGCCGTCGTTTTCAGCCTATGCAAAACTTTTCAGACCTGAGGCTTTTTTATGCCAACACATCTGTTTGTGTTTTTCTTAGCCTGGAGAAACCTTGTCACCTCCTGGAGATAACTGCACTGAGTATGAATGTGTGAGAAAGAAAGACAAATTTGTGACTGTGGCATCCAAAAGATTGTGTCCAAAGATCAACCTAGATGACTGTGTACCGGTAAGCACTTTCACACTGACAGCTTGTAATCATTTGACACATTACATTTAACTTCGCTTTAGGCCGGTCGTTCACTCGGCTGCCTACAGCAGCTTAGTAAATAGACCCCATAGTCTCAGTATATATTTAAAGTGCAATTGACACCAAAACTTTTTCTTAGTTTTGGATTGAGTGGGGAGTATTAGAACACCTGTCAGGTGTTTATTGCTATCTTCGTCCCCATTAGGGAGATTTACCCTCCCTATTTGGCCTGGTGACTGTTATCACTGAATGTGAATGGAAATCTAACATTTTGGGTAGTCATCAGAATAGGTATAGGTGGGAAATCTTCCAATGGAAACACTAGTTCCGGTGACAGTGCTGACCTCCAGGGGTTTCCCTCACTTTAGAGGGATTTCCTCTCACTTCCTATTGTGGCAAGTGGACAGGAACTAAATGGAAATCTTCCGAATAAGACACAGATGACAAAATAAGTAGCCCTTCTGTACTCTATCCATATCTAGAAAAAAGTTTTGGCTTTAGTTCTACTTTAACAATCTGAGCTCTGGTCACTATTTTAATACAACACAGAGATTGATTTCAACAATTGTCTCCCTTCTTGATCTCTAACATAAACCGCAGAGAATATCCAAAAGGTCCAATACTACTACTATATCTCTTTTTCAGGGAACTATACAGAAAGACAGCAAGGGATGTTGCTTAACGTGTAAGTATTATATCTGTCACTATTCAGCATTATTAATGTTTGTACAGATATATTTTATTATTCATTTACAAAATTCTACAGGCAGATTTTTCTTTAATTATATAGGTTGTAAAGAATGCAGTTCACATTTTTTATGCACAAAAAAAGTTAATTTAAACACTTTTGAATTAAGTGTTTTTTACCAGAAAATTAATAACTAGAGTATCAATTAATATTTTAGAATGTTAGGCAGAAAAACATACAAAAAAAAATTGTCATGACAATAAATTGATTCCTGTAGTCAGTACTATTTGACTTGATAATACATTTTCAGAATGTATAATGTTTGATCCCTATTCACATTCAATGTTTGGTGCCATTTCATTCAGGTTTCGAAGAAACAAACAAGTGTCAGAAGGTAAAGACAGAGGAGATCATCCTCCAGAATGGCTGTAAGTCCCTGAAGCCTGTTGTGATGTCCTATTGCAAAGGCAGCTGTGAAAGCTACTCCAGGTAAGTTGATTCTCTGGGCCCTTGTTTTTTATCGTGTACAAAATAAAAAAGAAAGTTGCGCTCATTTATCAAGAAAATTAGAAATACAATTAGACACATATTAGGCTGCCTCTCATTTGGAAAAGTCCGTGGGGTCTAATTATAAACATTAAATATCTGTGGATGTTTGCTTTGGTCGAATAATCCCAAAAAATAAAGTTTTTTATATATTTTTTCCAGTTCAAATGTATTGTGATGTAATATTCCATTATGGCCCCTCAATGGGAAAAAAGTGTTTATTTCTCATGCTGTTCAGCTCCATCGAGGGGCCATAATGCAGTATTACATCACAATGCATTCGAAGTGCAAAAAAGTATTAAGAACATTTGTTTATGGCATTATTCTCCCAAAATAAATGTTAAAAGACATTTGCAGAGTGAAGGGTCCTGCAAATTGTTTATAAAAAGACTCCATGTGGCAAAATTTCTGTGTATTTGAAAACTCTATACTTGCAATTCTGGGCAGTAAACTGAGATAGACTGATCACTGGAGATGACATAGATGTTCTTTCTAAATGGACACATAATTAAGAAGTGGTGAGAGTGTGCTACTCTAGAGCAACAGAGGTAGAAATTATTACTGAAGTATCCTGTTTATAATAAAACTGCCCTATAATCTGTCACGCTGCTCCTGTTTAGCATTGCCTTGTTGTGTGACACAGTTGATAAATGCTCCCTAATGTGTTTTTATACATGTACAAGTGCTACTGCTTATGTGTAAAATGTTTTATTTAGCCATTGGTTTTCTCAGTATCCTCCAGTGCTGTAAGGCTATTTTCTGAGGCCTCCAGATTTATTTTGTTCATGTGGTCCATGGTCTGTCTCCTATCCTAATTAAAGCTTGACTATCTTAACTCTGCTTTTAAATTAGGGCTGTGGAAATTAGAGATTAATTTCTCGATTAATCGTTAAACTTTTTCGATTAAAATTAGTTTGATCGCTAATGAAAACACTCACCTCTCCGCCGGCTTCCGGGAGTTCCGTCGGCGATCCGGTGACGTCACGGACATCAACGTCACCGGACTCCTCCCCCCTTCCCCCAAGTGGCTTCGTAGGCTAACGGAGGGAAGGGGGGAGGAGTACGGTGACGTTGATGTCCGTGACGGCTAACGAAGGGAAGGGGGAGGGGTCCGGTGATGTCGATGTCCGTGACATCACCGGACTCCTCCCCCCTTCATTAGCCGACGGTGCCACTTGGGCCGGTGAGTTTGCCCAAGAAACTTTCTGACGAGCGCCAGCGAAGGCATTGGCCTATACACATACAGCACAGCAAATAAGTTAAAAAAATGAACTAGTATCACACTAATCCAGCACGTTATTATTCTGAGTTGCCCCACTCAAGCGGCGGCCATATTGAGTGGGGCACGTGAGATTAATAACGTGCTGGATTAGTGTGATACTAGTTCATTTTTTTAACTTATTTGCTGTGCTGTATGTGTATAGGCCAATGTAGTTGGATCTGTATGTGCGTTATAATTAATCGAAATTAATCGATTAATCGATTTTTTAAAATGTGATTAATCGAACACAAAAATTTTAATCATTACCAGCCCTATTTTAAATCACTCTATTTCCAACAAATACAACAGCATATACATCTGAGACTAAGGGGTCTATTCACAAAGCTGCCGAAGGATCTGGCCGTAGCTTCGGCCGATCCTTCGGCTAGCTTTGGCACCAGGACCCCTTCGGTTCAGGAGAACCGAGGGGGTGCTGAGGGTCCATTCACAATAGCCCGTACAGCTCCCGATCACGGCCGAGCGGCTCAGTCGAGCGCTGAGCCGTGCTGAAAGACGAAGCTGGCCGAGCGGCCGGCCATTGGCCGGCCGACAGCCTGCTTCTGACAGCTGGGCGGAAGCATTGGGACATTACTATTGGCTATTTCTATTGCAACTTTGTGAATAGACCCCTAAATCTGAGACTATTTGAGCTTTTAGTTTTATTTTTTTTGCTCTTGTTGCTATGAAAATTGCATCTGAATTATGTAGAAGATAGTGAAAGTTAGGGCCAAATTAAAATGTTACATATCATGGCTGTACATCTGAT